CCTGTCTCTTGTGATTACATTGAGCTGACCTGGAAAATACAGTACACTGCCCGTATCTTCTGACTTGTAAAACTAATCATATATGCAAACTATGTTTTATGCTACAATGTACCATAAAATGCTTGTGAGGATTTGGAAATGGTTTTGGAAGGGAATTTTTTTTATTGTTTTACTATTCATATGTGCATACAAGGCTTGGGTCTTTTCTCCCCCCTGCCCCCACCCCCTCCCTTACCACCCACTCCGCCCCCTCCCTCCCCCCTTGCCCCCTCAATACCCAGCAGAAACTATTTTGCCCTTATCTCTAATTTTGTTGTAGAGAGAGTATAAGCAATAATAGGAAGGAACAAGGGTTTTTGCTGGTTGAGATAAGGATAGCTATACAGGGCATTGACTCACATTGATTTCCTGTGCGTTGGTGTTACCTTCTAGGTTAATTCTTTTTGATCTCACCTTTTCTCTAGTTCCTGGTCCCCTTTTCCTATTGGCCTCAGTTGCTTTTAAGGTATCTGCTTTAGTTTCTCTGCGTTAAGGGCAACAAATGCTAGCTACTTTTTTAGGTGTCTTACCTATCCTCACCCCCCTTGTGTGCTCTCGCTTTTATCATGTGCTCATAGTCCAATCCCCTTGTTGTGTTTGCCCTTGATCTAATGTCCACATATGAGGGAGAACATACGATTTTTGGTCTTTTGGGCCAGGCTAACCTCACTCAGAATGATGTTCTCCAATGGAAGGGAATTTTTCTGCCTGACACAAATTAACAGGAAATCATTTTCATCCATGTGTAAAACCATCACAAAAAAAAACATCAAGACACATAGACATGTAAGGGCCATTTATTTGGTATATATTTGGAAAACTTCCCAATGGTTAAGTATACCGTCGCTCAGCTTGAGGAAATCGTGGAGTAAGAATCACAGTGGTCCTTCACTCTTTCTTTAGCCCTGGATGCACTGCGGAACTCCTTAGCATGTGGAGGATCACCCTGACAATAATGCCCTGGAAGACACAGGATGAAGCAAAGAGTCTCAGGAAATACAGTGGAGAGGTAATACCCCTTCCACCACAAACAAAGAAGGGGTAATAGGCTCTTTCCTTCACTGCCTGCCCCCCACACTCTCTCTTTCTGGGGACAGGAATCTAGTTGAGAAGAGACAGATAAGGAAAAACTTCTACAAACTGCTATACCAATTGGACCCAGAAGGTCATTCTTACCACCACCCACAGCTCTTTTCAGGCCTTCTATTCATCCTTTCCTTGTTGTTGTGACTGGGTTTGAACTTACAGATTTGGGCTTGTAAAGCACGTGCTCCCAAAGCAGAAGCTCTACTGAATGAGGCACACTTCCAGTCCATTTTTCCCTGATTATTTAGGAGATGGGGTCTCTCCAACAATTTGCTCTGGCTGACCTCAAACCACATGATATCAGCCTCCCAACTAGCTGGGATTAGAAGGATGAGCCACTGGTGCCCAGACCGTCTGACCCTCTTGAACAGCCTCACATGTGATTATTTAAAGTCATCTCCAGTAGTTCATACACTCTTATTCTTGTTGAAAGTTCGGCACCAGAGATGCCAACCAAAGGCAAATATGAAAAAATGACCAGTATTTTTGTAATATTCGCTATTCAAGATGCTAGTAGCAAGCAAGTAGCCCATGCAAGACACCTGAGAGTTCCCCTATGACGACACAAACAGGAAACAACAAGCGAGGAGAAATTTCCCGGTACCCCAACCTCAATTGTTAACACCTGAGAAGTGGGGCCGCCCAGAATCAACATAAAAGCTAACAAGAGGCACATGCTTTAGAGACCCAGAAAAGAAAGGAGGGCTGGGCCCACTCTTAAGAGTGAGCTCTGGTTATTTTCGAGACTATTCAGCTCACGCCAGGAGGTTAGGACTGACAGAGGGTGGAGGAATCAGGCTCATGCAGTTTGCTGGAGGTGCCCAAGACTGCTTCCCTCCAGGAAACATGCCTGGGGACCGCAGGTGCAAAAGGCAACGTGCAACGACTCTCTTCCGCCACCTCGTGGTGAGTCGTGTGGGACCTGATTTCCCCAGTCTCCCCTGTAGTCCTGGGTTAGCAACCTTAGCAACACTATGAAACAACCCTGCTGATGGAGGAGGATCGAGCTGTCAAAACTTTGGAGGGACTGCTGTGGGCTCTCTGCTGTCAGGAGGAAAGGCAAGGATGGGATCGTGAGGGACAGTGTTCCCAGCCCGCCTTGGGGAGGCAAAGCCCCTCCTAGGTGACAGGATTTAGCGGTCTGTTTTTACTGCCAGATTAAAAGGTGGGTGCCGCCTGGTGTCTGTGGCTCACACCTGGAATCCTAGCTACTCAGGAGGCACAGGTCAGGAGAATCGAGGTTGAAAGCCAGCCAGGGCAAATAGTTCCAGAGAACCTACCACGAAAATACTTGTCACAGAAAAGGGCTGCTGTTGCAGCTCAAGTGGTAGACGGCCTGCCCAGCAAGCGTGAGGAAGTAAGTTCAAACCCCAGTAGCACCGTAAATGGATAAGTAAATAAACGCTCAACTTGTTAAAACTCATCATTTAACACCCGGATAACTGGTCTCCAGAACGTGTACCCGGGGACCAGAGAGCACAAACAGGTAAACACTCAGTGTACAGAGCAAGGCAATCTTGCCACTGCCCCTAGATGAACCCCAAAGACCAGGTATGCGGCACCTAATGACTCTAAATCAGCTGAGCGTCCCCAGGCTTCTCCACAATGTGTCGTACACAAGGCACCCTTCTTCTCTTCTCTTCTCTTCTCTTTTCTTTTTGTAAATAACAGCTGTGTATTGTTTAACACAATAAATTCGGGGCTAATGTGTGACAAAAATCGGTAACTAAACCATGCACGTCTGTCTAAAATTGATACAACTTCTTGGTAAACTAAGCCTTTCCTGCTGAGGTTACCTTCTAATCCCTAACACTGTTTTTTCTGAAGGATGTATTTGAATCTCTATCGGCTTTCTCTTGGTATTTCCCTGATACCTCTCTCTTCCTGGACTTCAGGCTGTTACACGTTCTTATCTAGTGTCTCATATGCACAGTATCTGTCTACATTTGCTTGCTGAAACCAGCCTACCGATGTGTATGTTTTTACTAGTGAAGTTAGTCTATTTACACTCTTGTCATTACCAGTGTTACTGACATACTTGAACCATTCTGCCGGCCTAAATTGTTTTAGGTTGGCCCACTTTTCCTGTATTTGCTCTTCTAACTTAAAAAATGCCATCTGCATCATCCCTGCCTCTCAAATAGAGAAAACACCATTAGCCCACGCTCATCTCACCCTCTCCTTTGCCCCAACCCCCGCCACATTATCTGGACTAGGTCAATGGGAAGAGGGCAGAGGAAGGGCGGCGGAAGGGGGGTGAATATGATGCACGCACTTCCCTCACGTGTATGAAAATGGAATGAGGAAACCCAATACATTTATTTTAAAGGGGGATAAAAAAGAATAATAGAGGGGGTGGATTTAATCAAGGCACCTTACATGCATGTATGAAAATATCACAAATACTCCCCTTTGTACAACTCATGCATGCTAATGAAGGAAAAAGCAGGGGTGCCAAGCATGGTAGTACACGGCTGTCATCCCTGCTACTCGGGTTCTGAGGCCACAGCAAAGGAGTTCACAGACAGCCTGTCTCCAAAAAACAGAAGTTACAAGAGGAGGGACTGTACAATAGGTGAATTGGGAAGAACTTTCCATTTGCTGACTATGTGGTCTGGCTCCTTTCCGTTTTCCTAAACTACTCTATTTCAGCCACACTGGCTTTCCTGTCTTAAAGTCCACTAACGTTGTGTTTTTAATTGCTGCTCTCTGCCTGAAATGCGGACTTTTCCCCACCGTCCGTGGCCAGGGAGGTGCCATGGCCAGCTGTGTGCGCTCACGAGAGCCACTTGCACCTCTTCTCAAAACCATGCTCAGTGTCTTCATGTAAGTTAATTTGAAAAGGGTCCTGTGAGAGCACCCTTATTTTCCCTGGTCCATTATCAAATAAGAGAGTTTTTAAAATATAAAGGTGACCACAAGGCAGAAATAGAGGGAACCTCCTTTATTCATCCAAAGGCAATATAGCCAAAAACTGACAGGGAAAGTTCAGCATTGTCTGCCCCTCGAGGCAAAAAGGAGGGAATGAGATGAAAAGTACAACAATAAGCCGAGGCAAAATCACAAACAACATAACCTCACATTGATGGAAGGTGACAAAACCTAGCCAGCCATAAGGCACAACTGCAAACTCTGAGTGCTATCATTATTTCCAATGTCAAAGAAAGGCAATACAATAGGCTGCTATCTGCTGGAATCTTACTCCAAAGCAGGGCCCATATGTCAACTCATTCCCTCTTAATGGTCACAGTATTTATTTGTGGGTGCTGTATGCTGCTCTTCATAGCAGTTAGGAATTGGTCACATCGTCCACGTGTCCAAAGTAGACCGTGTTAAAGAATCAAACGATGCAGATGCAAAAGCAGAGCGCCAAGGCTGCACCAAAGCCAGTGAGTGACTCTGGCATGTGCTGTGGCAGGAATCAAGAAAAGTGCTTGTCTCCATGGTTCAACATGGCATCTCTGCATTGCTCAGACAGTGAACTGAAGAGGCAGGAACGGGAAGAGGGTGTGTATTTCCTTTACAGGTCAGAACTTTATCCGTGCCAATAGTACAGAGCAGCAGAGCAGGTGTTACTGGCATGGGGGCCAGAGCTCTGAAAGGAACAGCACCGTGTGCATGCTTCTTACTTACGCCTAGAACGCGGCTGGCTCAGGACAAAATCATTGTCATTGGAACAGCTAATCAAAGGGTGCCCAGGCCCAGAAAATCAAGTCTAGGATGGTGGCAAGTGCAGGCGAATGCTCGAGAATTTATATGCCTTGGAAGGTGGGTTTTAAAAATAGCTAAGTGCAAAGCTCTTCTCTGCAATGAGCTCAAACAAATCTGCTCTGCCAAGACAGCCCACCGCAAGGGTGGGCTCTCAGGAGTTACTGTCACTCTGTGCAGAACCCAGGTACCTCGACGTGCTCAGGGAATTCTTCTCTAAAGTGTGCAGCTTGGTGTGCAATAAGGCCCGATTTCTTTCTGAAGCTTTTAGAACAGTGGCTACACTTGTATGGCTTCTCCCCTGTGTGGATTCTCACGTGAACCATCAGGCTGGATCTCTGCCTATATCTTTTCTCACAGTGATCACATGCAAATGGTTTCTCTTCAGTGTGTGTTTTCTGGTGTAGAATGAGAGCTGTCCAACTGCTAAAGCTTTTCTCACAACAGTAGCACCCGTAAGATTGTTCCCTTGTGTGAGTTTTCATGTGCTCCATCAGACTCGACTTATACAGAAACTTCCTCCTACACTGCACGCATTGGTACATTTTTTCAGAATGTCTTTTCTGGTGCATGGCAAGGTGTGCCCCGTGAGTGAATTGCTTCTTGCACTCAGCACATTCATAGGGCTTCTCCCCCTTGTGAATGAGCTGGTGGCGATAAAGTTCTGACCTGAGAAGGAACCTTTTCCCACACACGGAGCACTTGTAACCTAGCTCTCCTGAATGAGTTTTCAGGTGAACAGCAAGTTGGTGCCTATAAGGAAAACACTTTTCACACTGACCACAGTGGTAAGATTTCTCTCTGGGAACCTTTGGCATGAGGACTCTCAGGTTGAGAGACTCCTCCCAGTCGGAGCTCTCTCCTAGGTGGGACCCGGGCTTCATGCAACTGTCCACTAGCTCGTCAGGGGGCTCTTTGCAGATAGGCTCCAGCTGTTCGTATTCTGAGAGACAAAACATGAATAACACTCCAGGTTTTTCTGCTTGGGCATTTTATTCATTGTCCCTCCCAGCACCAAAACCCCAAGAGAAGAAACAGAAATAGCAGGTCATCTTCTTCCAGGGAGATTAGACAGATGGCAAAGAAGAGTTACACTCTAGCTGGGCGGGGGGAGGGGGGAGGGAGCAAGGGGGAGCGGGGGTGGTGGGGGGGAGAAGGTGGAGACTCCCAAGAGACATCCCCACCCTCTCTACCCTGATGAAGGCGGGCATTAACTGTTCTTTCTTCCCTGGCATTCAGTAACCCCTCACCTACCTCTCTTGGAGCCCAACAGTTCCTCTCCTCCATGCTCCAGCAGGAAGCTCCAGTCAGGCTCCAGCATTTCAGGTCCTGGCCAGAGGGAAAGTGTGGGTGTGGTGGGGTGGGGGTAGGATCTGAGTCACTACAGACTGCCTCAGAATTCAAGATGCTTTCTTGGACATGTGCGCTCTCAGCACCTACGTCCTCCTCACTTAGAATTACTTCACCAAGAGCAAGGTAGGTTGAGGTGAGCAGAAACTAGCACTTGCATAAGCTGTGTCGGGAGAGCGCGTGGATTAAGAGTTGGGGAGGATATCTGACCATATCTGTTCTATTGGAAAATTCTTACATCCACTAGACAAGGCTCATTGTGTTTTAGAGCTTAGCTCCGGGGCACTGCTGTTAACATTTAATGTCACTGAGAGATCAGGTCCCTGTGCCCACTTCTGCTGTTGTGATGGAAGCCACCTGAGCAGTTGTTTCATACAGGGGCCTGAAAGCCCTCCTTGTCCTGGTCTAGGCAGACTGAGACTCTGTCACTCAAAAGGCCAGTGCCACCAACTCCAAATACCTTCACAACCAATTATTTGAAAATTAGCCCCCAAAGCAGATTTTGAGCTATTTGGAGCCTGCTTGCTTTGCATACCCTATAAAACTTTGCCCGATACCTGCTGGCTGTTGAAAGGCAAAGCCTTGAGGGAAAAAGAAACCCAAGGTGATAGTGTCTCCTGTCCCAGACAGTGACTATGACTACCCATCAGCCATTCCTGAGAAGATGAGAGGTGACCTCAGCTAGGCCCCTGTGACCCCTCCCTCAGCTGGAAGAACCCTTGCCTGGCTTCCTTCCTGACTCAGGACCTTCCCCATAAGCAAACCTGATTGTCTGTCAACAAAGCTTGAGTGAGGCACATCTGCCTCTTGGCCATGTCTTTTTTGGGAGGGGCAGCACTGGGGTTTGAACTCAGGGCCTCACACTTGCTAGGTAGGCGTTCTACAGTTTGGGCCACTCCCCCGGCTCATTGGCCAAGTCTTTCCCTTGTTCAGCCCCCACATCCTTCACCGTCTCACCCCGTGTGGGGAGGATGATATTTTGGTGATAAGAAAATGAGAAAGAAATGTGGGAATGGCTGAGTCCACAGGACAATCAACTGACCTAACAGTTCCAGATGGCATCAGTGCGTGGAACTCAAAATGTGAAAGAGCTCTACATCCATGTAGCAGGCCATTACTGGGTAGCATATGAAACTTGATATTTTTCCTGGCCTCTGTCTGTGCCTCACTCCCCTGAGCAAGCAGTAGTGCCAGTGTTCCACGGACCTCACAGCTTTGGACCTGCCTGGGTGGGTGTGTGTGCGGGGGCCGGGGTGGGGGCATTAGAGGTGCTGAGACACCATAGAAAGATCCTGTTAGGCTCTAGTTATGTGCAGGGCAGGGTGTTGTAAGCACCGTGTGGCCGAGTCTCAGGAAGAAGGTCAGCACACACTTCTGGACCTAGTGTGGGCTATACCTGGCTCATAATGGCACTGATGAGGCACAGAAAGTGGCAGAGACAGGATACTCAGTGCTACACAGCTTACATTTTAGGAGCAGTACTCCTGCTAGTTCTGACTATTGAGGTCTTAGTACCATCTCCCTCTAGCATCTACAAGTGTATGGTTTGAGTTCAGATGAGACAATACTTAAGCCTGTGTCAACCGCAGACCACTTTGCTCCGCGGAAACTGTCTTTCCAGGTCTCTGGGCAAGGACCTGTATGCTGTAGTCACCCCTTCTTGTTCATCACCCAACACCCAGTCAGTCCATCACACCTGCTAAACAACGTTTGAATCACCCCTTTCACCCCATCATCACCAACATGGCTCCAGTCCACCGCCCCCCCTCCACCCCCCCGCAAGGCAGCAAAGGGTCTTCTCTCTGTCTCCAGGGCCTATGCACTCAATGGTCCTCCTGCCAGGTCCTCTCCCCTCATCACTTGCACCACTCAGCAGGCTGAGTTCGTGCTGCAGGTGTTTGCCGAGATCCACTTCCCCGACAGGTCATCCCTCCAGCTGGCCCCCCATGCCCTCCTACACACCTTCCCCATCACATACGGGACAGGCTGTCCTGTGGACATATGTGAACCACCAGCCAGAGGGTGAGCTCCAGGAGGACTGGGGCTGCGTTTCTGCTGTGTTTACTGCCACATCCCCAGGGTCTACCACCTGACCTGGCTCTTGACACATCTGGTGATGCTGGTTGAATGGAGGTGCTAAGATGTGGAAGACACGTGGTTTCTAAGCCCTGGCCCTGTGCTACTTATGGACACATCAGGCACTTCCAGTGCATAACTTGGGTTGTTCTCAAGTTGTTTCCATTTTGTCTGTTGGACCCTTCTGTAGTTCCACCATGCGGTTGGTCAATGTGCCACAACATTCAAACTGTGCCTGCTGAAGTAAGGGATGGGGCTGCAGCCAGAATGGGGCCAATGTTCATGGGGGGTGAGGGGAGGGCTGGGGTAAGGGGCATGGTTTCTAACAATGTAGGAGAACCCCAAGGGGAAGGACACACAGGAGCACCCGGACTACAAGATCCAGCTACCCTTTCCCACTGGATTTGCTCCTTCCAGAACTCACCCTGTTGTGTCGGGAGCAATGACATTGAAACCTTTGTGTGTGTCGCACTCACCTAGAAAGCATGTTAGCCAAGCACCCTGGGTTGTACTAATGAGGAGGGCCTGCGTACCATAATTGGAAAAGCACTCTTCTAGGTGGGGAAATAATAAGATAGATACTTCCTTTACGCGCCGCAAGTAACAGAACCCTCTTTGAGGATCTGAAGACAGCGTATTACCCAAGTATTCAGCCCAAATGAGGTGCTCATGCCATAATAGCAGCTGTAGCCTTTGCGACCCACAATCACAGAACCCCCGAGTTCACTTGAGTTCTCAAGCAGGAAGAAAGAGCAGGAAGAAAACCCTCGCCTTACCAGGATCCAGAAAGGGCTTGCATTTGCCAGCAGCATGGTAGTTCAGCTCTTGCTGCCCTGACTGTGGGATCCACGCCTCTGCCCCCAAGGCCTCTTGGGCAGATCCCCTTAGCTGGAGTGCAGGTGACCGCGAGTGCCTGTGTGGTGGCATGAGTTCTGTTTGCACTGGTGGCAGTTCTTCAAAGAGCGTGTCATCTATGTCAATCTGGGAAAAAGGCCAGAACCCATCAGTCCAAAGTCCAGACACTCTGGAAGTAAACTGCCCACCCACGGTCCAATGAGCCACACGTGTAGCTTGAAATTGCCCAGTGGCCCCGAGAAGCAAGGCATAGAAAGAATGGAGTTTGGCCAACTGTAATAGTATGTCACCCTTATTCTCACATGTCCAAGACCCATGATTTCAACATGTGATCCATGCAAACAAGTACTAGCGAGGTCTTCCGCTGCTTTCCCCTTCATGCAAAGACGTTCACAGGCGGTGTGCTTTTGATACTCAGTGCAGATTTCAGAGTGCACTGGCCACACACTTCAAGCGCTCAAGAGCCAGGAGGGGCTCGTGGCTTCTGTACTGGACAGGGCATGTCTAGACCCTCAAAGGCAAAATCTTCTATAGTTAAAAACCAAGAGGACAGAGAAAGGAAGGGAAACAACTCATTCGTGCTACCCAAGGATGGCAGGAAAGGTTGGAAGCCTCCTGTCCAGGGCGTCACCTCCCCTGATGCCAACAGCTCCTGCAGAGTGTCCTGCCCCACTCCCCCATAACCAAGCGTCCCTTACACACAGCTGGAAGCACCTGCTTCCTCCTCCCAGAGACACTGTCCTGGGCCCAGCTGTGGCCTCTCCAGAGCGAGGCTTCACGCAGCTGTTCTGAACAGAGGACGGTGCCACGGCTCCCACGGGCCGTTTTGGAAATGCTGGCGCATGGTGCCAGTGCACTTTAGTGGGCCAGAGATGGGAGCGTCTCTCACAATGCAGAGCTGTCCCACGTCCCTACCCAACGTGGAGTTCTCCCTCAAACATCCACGTGGGTAACATGACCTTCGGAGAACCACATCCTGCAGATCAGTTACAGACAAAATACTTGGCACATTTTAGCGTGACTCTGATTTCTTGGGAATGCACTCCTGTGCAAAGCAGAGGAAGACTATGTGACTTATTGTTCCCATTTACCAAGACTTGTTTGCCACTTTGGGAAATCACATGACAAGCAGCAGTACTGCTCATAGCACTTGTGCCTCACTGTCTGAATTCCTAAGTGTCACATCACACTGAATCTAAGCACGGATGGAGGCATGTGACTGCTTCCTGATGTCATCCGGTGAGGGGAAGCCCAAACAAGTTTATGCAGAGGTGCACATTAGCAATAATCAAATGTGTTCCCTTCCTTTAGGTCCTCTCTAGACCCTGCTGGGCTCGGGGCTGGAAAGCAGTTTCGGGAAAGAGCCACATAGTAGTTTCCGATGTGTGGGCGGCATTCGCCCTGCCATCTCTTCTCCTTCCTCTCTTTTCTTAACCAACTCTGAAACGAGGTAAAACCCCTCACTCGTGCATTGGCAGGGCTCATGCACACGGGCCGAGCCTGGAACTGGCCTTCAGGCCATCGAGCCAAATATGGATGGATTTGGTCGATGCATGCAGCTGAATTCTGCTATATGTGAATTTCATTTAACGATAGCAGAGGGGATAGGATCAGCCAGAGAGGGTTAAGAGCCAGTGAGCCAGCAGAAGGGAGAACTGAAAGGGCTGTGGAATGACACAGGCATAAAACATCTGGTCCACACCCATCTGCCTCGGTGCCTCTTTGGGTCTAAGAACAAAGGCCCCAAACTCTTTTCTTACCTGGTACTCTGGTCTCTCATGTTCTCTCTGTAAGTCTTCTATGAGGGAAAAGAGTCTTTCTTTGTTCTCTGGGCAGTAAGTGCTCACCCTGGCCTCTAGGTGGGTGGGCAGAATAGTCAGGAATTGCTCCAACACGAGCAGCTCCAGGATTTGTTCCACAGAACGCATCCTTGGCTTCAGCCACTGACTGCAGAGCTCCGAGAGTTTTCTGAAAACTTCCCGAGGCCCAGCTTCTGCTATGTACTGGAACTGCCTGAAGCGCTGGCGGGAGGCTTCACTGTCTGCGTCGTCCCGGTGCAGCACGGGATCCCCTTTGCACAGGAAGGGGGCCAGGAGGGAGTAGTCCGGGGGCTATCCATTGTGCCCGCTGGCTCCTTAGAGCTTATCTGGGGCCTGAGGCCTCAGATTCCAGGACGCTTCTCTCCGAACTCCTTCGGGGGAGCCACCTACAGCAGAGGAAAACGTGAGAAGTGAGGCATAGCGGTGGCGATGAGAAGACATACTCAGTGCCCTCAGGTTTTCAGAATCAAACCTTACCAAGCCCGAGGACGTGGACTGACTCTCTTCCCAGATAAATACGCATACGAGTCCACCTCTGCGTTCAGCTTGCAAAAGTTTCCCATAATCTCCAAGCCCATCCACAGACCCTCTGGCACTGCGCCCTCCTCTCCAGCATGAGAGCCAACACCCCCATGTGGCCACTTCAGTGGGAATAATGAAAATCACCAATTGAGTTGCCGGCCACATTTTAGCTGCAGAGAGCTATCCAGCATTGGGCAGTTCTGCTCTAGAAGTGCACGGGCCCCAGGCTGGTAACCCCTGCAATTAAGGAGACTCCTACAGATGTGCAGGCCTTGAGCCCACTCCCAGTCTAACGAGGGCAATCTTGTGTTTCTGAATACCGGGAGACTGCACACACACTCTCACACACACACACACACACACACACACAGACACACAACACACACACACAGACACACACACGAGTAGGAACACTAAGGAGAGATTGTACTGCAGAACCTCAAAAGTTCTTCTAGCTTGCAGTCCCCCTTATAGCCAGGCCCTGCAGGGACAGCTAGTTCTCAATCCCTTGTCTTCTCATTGCAGAGTATGTGTGATCTTACTATTGACTCCATGCCCTGCTCCGCCATCCCCTCCCAACATAGCCTTCCAAGCAGCCCACCTATGAGGAAAACACACTGCACTGCCCAACGGGCCCTGGGAATTTGCTGTGCGTTCTTCCTGAAGGACGCTTATGGAGTTCCCGCCATGTGCCAGGTACAGTCCTAAGTGTCCTGCATAGATCAGTTCAGTTAGTCCTCACCGATGTTGGGAGCTGGGGAGTAGCGTGGCCCGCTGAATGCATAGGAGGGAAGGGAGGTTTAAGGCCTGGGGGGCGGGGGGGGGTGGAGCTCAGCTAAGCTGGCCACATTCCCAATGCCAGAAGGAAGTGACGATGAGGTTAGAATCTATGGTTTCCTGCATTTGAGAAGTCTAAATAACATGAAAATGTTCTTGTCACAATCTCTGAGGTCACGGACACGGTCACAGACACGGTCACAGACGCGTCTCCGCGGGTCTCAGGACTTGTACCTGCAGGTGTGCTATGGGTTGGCCTTCACTCTGTGTTTTCTGGGATTGATCCGGTACCTGCCCTCTTGTCTGAAGGAGGCCCTAAAAGAGAAATGTGTGTGATTCCCTTCCCACAGCAGACTCAATATCCACCGTCCCCATACCATTCCACCCAGTGCCTGTGTGCATAAAAGGAGGAGACTCAGGGCTTCGCGACTTCATCATCTGTTCTGTGCAGATCCAGTGGTGTGGAAACTGAGTGCCAAACACCACTGTCCCTCCCTGCACAGAGGAAGTGCCCGACAGAATGAGGATCAGCCTGCTGTATGCGACCAACCTGGGGTTGAAAAAAGCTGAGGTGAAAACTGTATGGGGAACGGACATGGACAGAGTTTTTGTCGTCATTCCCTAAACAGTGTGGTATAACAACCATTTCCTTAGCATTTACATTGTATTAGATGCTATGGGTGCTCTAGACACGATTTGAAGTATGGGGGAGATGGAGAGATGGAGACGTGACTAGATTGTATTCAAATTCTAGGTCACACTATAGAAAGGTATTGAGTGAGTGGGTGTGCTAGGGTAATCCTCGAAAGGTTCGGTCACCAGTCCTCCTTGGGTAACAAGGGAGGACCGTCATTGCTGGCCATCACTGTGCCCCAGGAAGGTTCTAATGTCTTTAGCCAAGGCTCCCAAGCTTCAGGCTGGGGCCCTTCGAGTGTGGCTCACCCATGCACGTGCCCCGCCCTCCCCTAACTGACTGCGAAGCTTTCTCTAAGTCTACCAGGGAAGTGACCTCGGGGGATCCTCTCCAGGGGCTGGTCCCAATTCCAGTTCACCTGACCACTGGAGCGTGGTTTCTCCTGAAACCCTTGTGCAGTGTTCCCGCCCTCACAGGCCCTGGGCAGGCAGGCTGTTGGTTCCCCAGAAGAGGGCACTTGGGGAATGTGGGAAATGTCCCCGAAAAGCCCCAAATCCGGAATAAGAACAGACGAGGTGGTGCGGGGCAGGCTCCCTGAGTGAGTGCTGTGCCAGAGGGGGTGACACAGCCCCGCCCCGAAGGGGGCTCCTCCCGCTCTGCTCTGCTCTGAGGAGGCCCGGCCTCACCCTGCTCGCGGGTAGCTCCCTCAGGGACACGGGGCTCACAGGAATGCCAGTGGCCTGCCCGCAGGTCTCTTCCACCCACAGCCGCCCCCGCCAGGCCCCCCTACCGCGACACCTCGTGACCCCCGCAGCCCCTGCCCCTCCCCCATCCTCGGGAGAACTGGGGTCCTCCCGGCCTCTGTGCCTCCTGTGGGTGTCCGCGCCCCAGCCCCAGCGACCACGCGGAATGGCCCGCCGCTGCAGGTCTTCCCTACCCCTTCCCCTCCCGAGGGGCTGACAGGGACCTGTTGCCTGTCGCGCTCTCCGCGCACCCAGCGCCCAGGTCCTGAGGGAGACCCAGGCCTGATCAAGGCGCCCCCTGGCTGCGCACGCGACGAGGAGCAAAGGAGGAGCTCGCGTCGCGCCCTCCTGCTCCCGCTCGCTCGCTCCTCACAGAACCGGCGCCCGCCCGGCGGCCTGGCGCTCGGCGCTCTGTCCCGCGTCTGCGAGGGAACGGAGCGCGCCACCTGTGCCAGGGCGGGAAGAAGGCGGGTTGCTCAGGCCCCTGGGGGAAGGGAGCCCCCCATCCCGCCTCGCGAGGGAGTCCGAGCCCGGGCCTGGCGCCCTGTGGCTTCTACCTCTGCCCAGTCCCACAGGCTAGCAGGGGCTCGCAGCTCCTTCACCGTCCGGGCCTGGCCAGGGCTGGAAGCCCCCAGTTACTGTCCCCCCCCGCCCCCGCCCCGGCTCACGGTGCCAGGACAGCTGCGGACACACACGGGTCCTGGCTGAGGAAGCCAGACCAGGGAGGTGGCGCCTCAGGACAGAGAGACGGCACCTCCCCCACCCCCACCCCCAGCCCACCTCACACCCTGCGACCCCTTCTGGGTGGGAGGGGAGTCGCCCCTCTCCGGCCTCCGGGGGGGCGGGGTGGGGGAGCTCTGGGCTCTCTTGAGTCTCGCGGACTCACTCCTCAATGTCCCCGTGCCCACTGCCACACAGGGCTCGCTGGGCTTCTTCCTGGCCTCGCTCTGAGCGGTGACCTCAACCCAGCCTCCTCCGTCTGCCTCAGCCAGGTGCGTAGCGCGGGCCCACGTGTCCCGCGTACTGCACGTGCAGCTTAGGTCTGCGGGAGCAGACCAATGGGAGCCAGCGGCTGTGGGAAAGTCCTTCTCTAGGCCTTGTGACTGGGTGACAGGGTCAAAGAGAGGCCAGCCGATCCCTCCCGGTACTCCATACTGCGTGATGTCCGCTTGGGAGACTTGGGGACACTGAGGCCGTAGTACTTCCCACAGGGGGTACGCTCCCACTGCATTGCTAGACTCCGGGCTTGTCAGATTACAGCCCGCACCTGGTGCGTGGCCTGGGGGACGCAGCGGGAAGGTTGTGCACCTCTGCTCCTCTCTAGGGCACACCTGCACATTAAGGCCCCTACGCCCTCCCTTCCTTGTCCATTTTCCGGACATCCGTGTGAGTAGGGAGGCTCCCTTCTGAGGCCAGGCCTGTGTCAGACGTGTGCTCTCAATCTGTGCAGTTGTACACTGCACATGCAAAACACACTTCTTCGCTTTCATAGAAGGAAGAAATAGCACCCACAGAGACCAGTTCTTGAGCATGACAAACAACGGTCCTTTGCACTCACAAAACACCCCCTTTAGGAAGAGACGGGACTCAAAATTTCTCATGCGAAAGGATAAGCTAGAAGCCATTAGCAACACAAGCACTAACAGTTGAAACTCAATCAGAATGAGATACTTCAAGCACCCCCTACTCAAAACACCATCCATAATTGTGGAGACCAGCCCAGAAAACACTGTGAATTGGGCCCTGAACAGGTTCCACTTTCTTTTTAACGGAACTTCATTTTCAAGACTCATTTCAGGCAGTAAGGCCTGTGTGCCAACTTCTGCTCAAGATCATTGTCTTAGTTCCCTCCCTGCAGAGTGGTATCCCAAAGGAGCAACTATACATCAGCACTTTTCTGCACCCCATTCCCATAATGGCATGTGTAAGCTCGACCTGGGAACAATGGAGACTCACAGGCTCATGGTCACAGATCCTCACCTTTTCATATCATTTTTGTCCCGCCTGTACAAGGTACGTGTCTAAACCAGCTCCAAACTCACTGTTCCCAGGGACTTTTATGGAAAACAATGTGACCTGCCACCGAGGGTGACATGATTAAGGAGCCTGCCTTCCAAATAATGGCCAAGAGCCTCAGAGTTGATGTATTCCTCCCCCCAACACACACACAAAATCAAAAAAGTATGCAGAGTGCAGCTCTGCTGGGCCTGTCCCCGAAGAAAGCACATGGATTCTGGGATGTGCTAGCTACAAAGAGGAAGGAAATTTACACATTCCCCCATCAGCTGCACCGGAGCCACTTGAGTGATTCCCTCAGTCCAGGGAGGTCCTCTGACAAACAGCCGCCTTGACTGAGTCACACCTGATCCCGCTGACCATACCCAAGGTGGCTCCCAGAGAACTCTTTCACACCAGCCAAGCTGGACAAGGAAATGGGAGATGGTTGGAGCACAAGGCCATGTGTCTCTCAGGTCCAAAGGTGGCCGTCTCTGAGACTCCCAGGGAGCGTGGCCTGCTTGGGAGGGACGTTCCTTTCACAGGAATCTGGACCTGCCCCAGCTCCCACTTGCCCTGCCTCCCCTAGGACCTACAGTTTCCCAGGTAAGGAAGACCAGGGGACAGTAACAGAAGCCAAGTTCCATTAAGGCCCTGAATATTGCTGTTTGGGTTTAGTTCCAGTGTCTGCAACAGTTCCTGACACTTAGGTGGCAAAACTGAACGCGTGGAGTGAAACAATGAGCAAAAGCCCAAACTTGCGAGGTCACCCCTCCTCTGGCTTCCTTTATTATAAAGTGGTGCACTAAACACTGGGTGATTGGGAAGTACCCCCAAGATCGCTAAAGCAAACTGAAAACTCAGCTCAGTTGACTTGGGACCAGGAGCTTATGGCAGACTTAGGAATCCAAGGCCTGCCGCTGAGCTCACAGCCAGGTTCCGGGGACGCCAACAGCTCCAAAACCAGACACGGCTCCCTGGTTCAATGCTCTGTTAAGGGAAAGCAAGCAGTTTCATGGAGTCCGTGTGTGGGGCGTTGGTAAGCTCCTTCCCCATGGGCAGGCAACTTCCCCTTCCTGCAAGGGGCTCTGGGTTTGCCCCGTGATTCGGGTCTGCAGACAAGCTGCACCTCTCCCACAAGGGGGGTCCATGGAGGCTTAAGTACCCCACATGTGGCGGTGCTTCTCTTTAAGGGTCAACTGAGGCCTTCGTGGGAGGCTGACCCATTGACTCATAGGGATGGAATGATGAATTAACGGCAGGTACGCTACTGATGCTCACATAATCCATTTATTGAACTTGTTTAACATGTAACCTGCCTTAGGCGCTACCAGGCACGATCCTAAGTGCTTGCTGGTGGAGTAACGAACACCACTTGCCCCCACATTCACACAAACCTGAAAGCACCCTATCTTACGGCACTTACATGGTAACATGGGAGGAAGGGTCACAAGTAAATGGTAAATAACAAACCGAGTAGGTGACAGATGTCAAAGGCCGTGGGCAATTGGACACCGCACACACAGCCTAAGGGGACTCAAAACCGCAGGCACGCTGCAACTTTAAATCAGGCCGTGAACATGCGGGGCCCGTGGCTCAATTTAGCCGCTTTGTCCCTGCAGGTTACTTCCTGGGCAACCCAGGCCACCGCCAGCACAGAATTCACAACCGGCCATGGGAAACAAGGAGTTTAACCCAATGGCAGTGTCGTTTCTTTCCTACAATCAAAAGCCAGGTCTATGTGCTTTCCAATTGATAATGTACTTCCCTAAAGTCGGCTCGCGGTCTCAACCGCTCCCTACGTTTACAGGGAAATCCTAGTTAAGATATTCTATATGGTTCCTAACGTAAACTTTGCCATTACGCCAGGCCTCCTAGGCCCATACAAGTGAACAGGAACAGGCAAGAAGAGGCTTGGCTACTGCGACATTTGCACTGGGGTCATGGAAACCGCTCTCCAGGTATAGCAGGACTGAGCGCTCTCCACTATGACCACATCGACAAGGTCATGTAATTGAGGAACGTATCCAGGAGGAAGTTTCAGAGAATCCAAAGTGAAAAAGATAGCGTCGTCTATCACCCCTTGACTTCCGTGCATGTTACTGATGTAGACCTGCGACAGAAAGGACAGACACGGTTTTAGAAAACCATAATCATCCCAACGGGCCCAGCACCTCTCACCATGGCTCAGTCCTGCCGAGCGCTCCACCCCTCCGCCGATTCCCAACCTGCCCCCGGCACACTGGCAACACCAGGGGTGCTCTGTGAACACACCGGTGCCCAGGGCCCACCTCACACCGAGTATGGCAGAATCTCTGCGGATGGGCCCTGGGTCTCTCACGGGAAGCCTTGCTCCGAACATTACCCACAGTGGGTAACACTGCCTCTATTTCCATTGAACTCCCCCTCATTCTCAGGTTGCACTACCCAAGTCGCTACCCAGCTTTTATCGGTAAGCTCAAGACTCACACCCGCTTCGTTCCGTCTTTCCTCACACCTTTCTTGTGCACAAATTGTTTTTTCTACCTGTTTTTGCAGAACATCCGAATACAAAAAACAAACAACAACAACAAAAAACCCCTACATAACGTAGAAATTAAGTACCTGTGTGTTCTACCTTACTTCCTATTGGAAGTTTTTCCACTTCAATAAGCAAATAGGCTCCTCTTTGGCAAGGAATGTGTCTTCTACAATTGTAGCCACACCCAACAGAATCCTGGGCACAGCCAGGCATGGTGGCTCCCTCCTGCAACCCTAGCTACTCGAGAGGAGGCAGGGAGACAATGAGGATCAAAGTTCGAGGCCAGCCCTGGGGAAAAAGTGCATGAGACTTCATCTCAGCTAGTGAAAAAAGTTGAACGTGGCAGGTGGTATGCCCCTCATCCAGGCTACGCGGACCAGCCCAGCCCTGGAATTAAACGCAAGACTCCATCTGCAAACTGCCTAGAGGAAACGGGGCCGAGGGTGTGGCTCAAGCAATAGAGAACCTGCCTAGCAAATGCGAAACTCTGAGAAGAATCCCCACTACTGACAAAAACTACGAACCCTGGGCAAGAAAATGATTACTGTGGAAGAACTGTCACAAACTAATGACAAGCGTGACACGGAGTCCAATTACCTCATCAATATGACTACAGTTAGTGGGCTTCAACGAGTGTGCGATGATGTTTGAGGTGCCAGGCTGGGTGGAGTATTCAACTTGGATCCAGTCACCCTTGTAAGGCACAAACCCTAAAACAGCCAAAGGAAAACTGGAACAATTACCTCTTCACTTAGGTCACATTCACAAATCCTTGACGCAAGGCAGTCAAGTACACAGGAGGAGCACTGAATTTAACTTCTTACCTGCCCTTACAGCTTTAGCTACAGACAAACTCTTACAGAATATATGCTCACCCTTAACATAATTCCACAATGTGCATATGTGCAAGCACACACACTTGCATGGGGAGAAAGAAAAAAAAGATGGGGAAGAGGAAGGCAGAGAGGGAGAGAGAGAGAACCATAAGGTCACCTGCAACATTCTTTTGAAGCATTTGACCTATGTTGAAATAGCAACCCTGGGGAGTGATGAGAGGGTAATGCGGGATGAGTATGTATGAAAATGTCATGGTGAGATACATTAAATATGTGAAAAATAAGTATATAAACAGAAAATGTTCACATGAAATAGTGAAAAGTAAAAGGAGTCTTAATTTAAAAATAGAATACACGAAGGCTGTTTTCAATGTCTAGAGATGAAATACCTGCATAACAAAGAACTTTGACACTCTTTAGTGGTTGCATTCACATATGAGAAATGACAGAAAGACTTTTTATAAACATCTCCTATGTGTCCCTGTACCATTACCTTCCATTCCAAACTGCGGACTCAAGAGCTGATAACTCAGACCAAATTGATCACAGCAATTTCAGTTCTCGTATTGCATTTCTCTAAAAATGTAACTCGTACCTTCAGAAACAATGTCCATGGAGAAGTAAGTGTCATTACTAATGTAGACAGCATCGCTTGTCACAGCAGTGACACAACTAATCAAAAGTCGAGTTCTGAGGCCTGATAGCCCATTGCAATCAAAGGGATGGGAGAAAGGCTCCACCTGGAAGATAAGGGGACAGTTACATCACACCAAAGAAAGACTTAAAACGGGAGCCTGTATGATTCCGGGGAATCCCTATCAAAACAACTACAATTTGGTAAGTTGGCCTGTCACCGTCCTGTGGATGCTTGCAAGATACCGGGTTCCCCCGTCAGACACAAAGGGCTTCATTACTCGAAGCAAAAGCAGCCACTACCCATCACTGTGAACCCCACTGGTGTTCAAGAAACAGTCTATGGAACCCTCCTCAACGCTAGCCCATACATTTCATGTGACCAATACATCACGGTCATGAGAGGAGGGTAAAAATGATGTCTGCGCTTGCTTCACAGATTGCTAAACTGCACTCAAAGCGTGAACTGCACATCTAGGTCTAATGCACGTAAACCTACAAGATATAATGAGAGCTCCGGGTTCACCCCCGAGTCGTGTCTGCAGATGGGCCGCACCTCTCCCACGGAGGCTTAAGTACATCACAAAATGTTTTTCTCTAATAAGCATTAACTGACGTCCTCGTGGGAGGCTGCACCTTTTAGGAGTACCAATTTTTGGAGGGTATTACGGGAAGATACCTACCTCTAAGCAACTTGTGACAATCAAGTTTCAAAATCTTTTCCGGGAGGAAAAATTTTTACACTGAGTGAAAATAAGATCATTGTTTGGAGGAAGTGGCATTTGAACTGTGTGTGAAAGAAGAGAAAGAAGTCACCTGGTAGATGGGGATGGGGGCAGAGCAGGGAGGGACACGGGAACAACAAGAACCCTTTAGGAGAAATGGGAGGAACACCATCTACCCAAGGTCTGGGACTGGGGGACAGAGGCATGACGTGACTGACGTTGGAGAGCTCACCACAGTGGGAAGAGATTTTAAAGACGAGTCACGTGAGGGCTGAATTAATCAATGAAAGATGGGAGCCCATATGGAGGCTTATCAGAAGTAATGGACTTATTTTAAAATTTTCTTCATTACACATATAATGCATGTTCATCATAGAAAAAGAAGAAGAAAAGACGTGAGCACAAAGCAGAAAACGATTACTCACATCCCATAAAATCCAGAAAGCCGCTGACTACTTCTTTGCTATTTACCGTGTGCCAGATATTTCTTTTTTTTTCCCCTCCCACAAACACGCATGCCAAGTTTGAAAAAAGAATTAACTCTGCATGTAGTGTTAAAGTATCACAGGGAGGTCACAAACATTTTTAGAAGACAAGAGATCACCGAAAGGCTAATATGGCATTCCAATGAACGCATGTCCCGTATTTAAGTGGCCCAGTTCCACAAAGTCTGGCGTTTAGTTGGCATCCTGTGTAATACACTGCCTACCTAGCTCATGCGTTTCTGCGGTACAGAGTCCTAGGAGTAACAGTTCTTGTCAGAAGATTTCCGATGCATTCCTGGGCCACTGTGGTACGAGGTGTGCTCAGGGCTTTTTCAAAGCCTAGTTCATAGCTACTACTATTTCTCAACTGGTGTCTTTCCAGCAGCCAATACCAATCTCAAGGGCCTTTGCCTCTGCTTCACTTCAACTAGGAGTGAAGCACCAGGCTCCTGTCCGTCTATCCACCGCCACCTCTGTCAGCATCCTAGTGGATGATCCATCACGCCTCCTGCCTGCTCGGTGCTCGGTGTCCGTCACAACTGCTGACCTCTCTGTGCCCTGACTGCATTCCAGCGCACAGCCATCCTGCACACTCGACATCCCCCCCCCAGCTTCCCTGTCATCCCCTCCACCCACACTCTGCCAGTTCCCTTTCTTTGCCCTTGCAAACACCGCTAGCATGCTAGGGAATGCAGACAGATTCAAAGGTTTGAGAGAAATGACTGTATGAGACAGACAGCCTTCCCCATCAAAAGGGGAGATGTGGATTACGCAATTCATGGTAAGTAGTGACTAGACAGCCTTCAGCAAAACAAGATATGGATCCTTCTCTCAAGACAGCACACCTAAATCAAATGCAGGCTGACCGAATGGTTCCATGCAAAAAAGTAAATGAACAACTTTCAGAAGAGAAAGTGAGTATTTGTGTGAATTATGAACTGCAATTAGCCTAAGGATTCTTGCTAAAGCCAAAAACCAAATGGACAAGACTGACATATTGATATGATACGAAAGATACACATAAAACAAACATATAGACTATTGGGGGAGATAACATGAGGACTACATCTACTACTTCTCCTGATAAAGACCTCGCTTCTGCTAACATGGAAAGAGCTGAGATCTCTTCTACACAGATAGTTTGAAGAAGAGAAAAAGCTCTACTGTCATTAAGACATTCTGAAATTCAAAATAAAATTCTGAGACAGCTCTTCACTTCTCATTTTTTAAGTGATTTCAGATCAATAACATGCAAGTCCTTTTCAAACAGGTTGTTCTGCAGCCTGTTGCTGGA